CTGTTGTGGGGGTGGGAGACTGAACCAGTGTACGCTCCTTGCTTGCTCTAACAGGAAGCCACAACCCCAACCTCTCAATTGTATCATAATCCAAAAAACGAGAACTATGCATCTTTCTCTGTTTTCATTTTTTTTTTGGTTTTATTTACATACATGGGTGTTTGGTCTGTGTGAATGTCTGTGCACCATGTGCGTGCCTGGTGCCTGAGGAGGCAAGAGGAGGGCATGAGTTACAGATGGTTGTGTATATGTATTAGGTCTTCTGGAAGAGCAGCCATAGCTTTTAATCACTGAGACATCTCTCCAGTCCCCACCCCACACTTTTTTGGGGGGGGTCAAAACAGGGTTTCTCTGTATTCTCTGGAGCCCACTTTGTAGACCAGGCTGGCTTTGAACTCACAGGGATCCGCCTGCCTCTGCCTCCCCGAGTGCTGGGATTAAAGGTGTGGGCCCCCACCCCATTTTTGAGTCAAGGTTTCACCATGTGGTCCTAACTGGCCTGGAACTCACTCTGTAGCCCAGGCTTGCCTCCAACTCAGAGATCCTCCTACCTCTAAAGCTATAAAATTTTTAAAATCTAGGAAGAAAAATAAAAGTCCCATGAAGAATTTGTATCCAGAATACATAAATACTCTTTACAGTCAATTAAAAAGAAAATAAAAGGCAAGCAGTTTAAACATGTTTGAGTAGTATCCTAGCTTGTGTCTGTTCGGGGTGGTGATAGACACCTGTTCTGGGGAGGCTAAGGGTAGAGGCTGGGGAATTCAGGAGATCAAAGCCAGCCTGGACTACAGAAAACAAACCGAGGGCTTGGGGATGCAGCTCAGTAGGGGGCGTGCTTGCTTGTCTATCACTGTGAGGCCCAGGTCCCATCCCCAGCACCACAGAAGCCCTTGAGTGTTGTTTAGCGTGGCTAATACTGGGCGAGCCCATCTGAGCCCACTGAGCATGCTTCCAGGGTGTGTGCATTCTCACGTTCTCCAACTGAGAAGCAGGACTCAGAGTGAATCGGCAGCCTGGCCTCCTCCAAGCCTTGGATCATTTTTATTCTAGTCCACGTCATTGGTTCATGGCCATAGCCCACTGAGCTGATTTCCCAACCCTCTGACTTATCTCTTGGGTATCTGCTAGGTCAGAGGAGGGCTTAGGCCTGGGCGGAGCACGTAATGAATGCCCCAAGTTACTGACTCCTATCTTTAACCTGGGCCTGCTTCTCAGCTGGCTGTTCGTTCCCTCCTCTGAACCTCAGTCTCCCTCTCTGTAAAAACAGGAATTGTAAGTATGCACCCCTTTGGAAAAGATAAACTGCTTTGTTTTGTTGAGTAAAGGTTACGGCTGGCCTGGAACTCATCACCTAGCCTAGGACTACTTGGATCGTGCCCCTGCCTCCCAGGGCTGGGATCCAGACCAGCACCACCATGTCCTCGTTTAAACTGAGACAGGGTCTCACTCTGGAAATGAGTGGCCTGGAACTCACTACGTAGCGTGGGCCAGCTTATAACTCACAGTAATCCCCCTGCCTCAGCCTCCCACATTGTGGGATTATCATTTGGCTGAAATGGTTTTTATAAGGAACCCTGGTGTGGAAATTGTTTTGGGGTCTGGAATCCCCAGCCAGAG